CAACGAATGACGTGATCGCAGCGCTGATGACCGCATTGAGGGGTGAGGAGTCTTATGGCAAATGGATGGTATGTGAAGCTCTTGGTCGAATCGGTGAAAAAGCAGCAACTAACGACGTGATCGCAACGCTGATGACCGCATTAGGGGATGCGGATAATTATGTGAGACGGACGGCATGTGAAGCTCTCTGTCGGATGGGCGAAAAAGCAGCATCAAGCAGCGTTATTAACAGATTATTATGTAATAGTAATTATTATGGTCCCAATTTGCTAGGAAAGCTTTTGGCTTCGGCGTCCTCGTTGTCTAACATAGATTCACCTACAGTATTAAAATTACTTAATTTCTGGAATCGTAATCCTTTGCAGGTACTCGATATAGCTTTGGAAAAGATTATGATGGCGTACTCGGAAACGGAAATCGCTGAATGGTGCTCTATTATTGCTCTTCACGCGCTTCGCACGGGTTGTGCTGTTACGGTTGTTGATCGAACAATTTTTGTATATAGCAACTCTGAACCAGTAAAGTTTGATATGCCGAGTCGCACACTTTGTGACGAATTGGTTCGTGTATTCGCCAGTGAGGAAGGGCTAGCTTTTACGTATATGATAGACAAGACAGTAGGAAAAAAGGAATTCACGTGAGAAGATACTAACTGATTGTACTATAATGTGATATTGCAGTGTGATTGTGCACGCAGTTGGAGTGAGGGTGACAGGCTCTTTTCATTGTTCGTTTCCGTTACCCTTACTTCACCCCAGTTACGAATAAACAAGAAGAAAAAAAGATTGAAATAATATCAAATATTGTCACACGGAGCGACCAGAGAGATCCTTCCTGTGTTCGTAGTGGCGGCGTAAAGACCTTGAACGAACGAGGCAAGACTACACGCTTGACGACGACGCACACCGGTAGGTCGTGTGAACTTATGCGCCGTGTCGGATTGTCACTACCAGAAAGATCTCTTTGGTTGGGGTGTGGGTGTGGGTGTGGGTGTGTGGATGTGGGGTGTGTGTGTGGGTGTGGGTGTGTGGATGTGGGGTGTGGGTGTGGGTGTGGGATGTGGGTGTGGGTGTGGGTGTGGGC